CAGTAAGTAGGAACCCGATTGTTAATCGATCGGTGGATCGCTTTTCCAGGTTTAATAATTCCATCAAAAATTAAATAATAAATTGACCGCTTCAATCGACGGACTGTTTGTGGGACGCTGCTGTGTGCAATTGGCTGTCGCGTTTCACCAACAGATATGCTGCCCACCATTGGCAATCCTTGAATGTTCAATAATTATCTTAACAAGCTTTAAAAAATGAACCTAGACTTTCACCATGAAAACAAATCAAGGCTTTAAATAGAGCACCACCTGATGAGAGCACACGTTTCTTTAGCCATTGCTATGAAACCTGATAGCCAAAGGGTCAGGCACGTTAGATTTTTATTTAAGTTTATTCTCTTGATGCAGTGGATTTTTGTGCGCATTTTAATTTGCTTTTCTGTCAACCCTCAAAAAAACCCAATGAAAATAATACTATAATAATTCTTATATTTAGAAACATAGAAACAGGAAGAGGCCATTCAGTCCCTCGAGCCTGTTCCGCCATTCTATGAGCTCATGGCTGATCAGTTCCACAAGTTCAATTACCCTCCCTTGCCCCATATCCCTTAATACCCTGACCTAACAAATATCTATCCACCTCAGTCTCAAAGGTGTGAAAAAATATTTAATATAGTGTCTTCCATGCTGGGAGGACGTCTCAAAGTGCTTCACAGGATTTACAGTAAAGTATAGTGCAGTTTCTCATATTCTTGTGAAACGCCATTACCTCTTTCGTAAGCACTTTAACTTTAAGCGCATCAAAGCACGCAAGCATTCGTCTCCATCTCACGTGCCTTACTGTCTCCTCAACAAGAAGATTTGTTCATACGAAGAAGGCCCTTCGGCCCACCTGACCTCATCCCTCCAGAACAACCACCCTATCTATGGTCCACACCATCACTGCTTTTTAAATGGTCCTGGCCTCCAGCATCTTCCCTATTCCAGCTGTTGATTACCCGTGAAGCCGTGTGAGATGTTTGGCCCACACCATAAGCCACTGTATCAAACGCAAAAGTTATTATCCTTCTGCTGTTCTTTTAAAAAAAAATCCCATAATCTGTATCCGTGTTCCCCTAAGCCTTTGCAGAATTGTTTTGCACCACTTCATGGACATTTGTGGACATTACCACGTGCAGGTTTAGCTTTTTTGCCTACAAAATACGCAACTGCTACACTTCACAGCAAAACACCGTCAACTGCTTGGAGACATCTCCACAACGTGACGAGGCATTACTAAATCAATTCCGAGGGTTCTTATCATATTATTATTATTATTATTATTATTATTATACTTCTTATTTCTACATCAATTAAAGTTATAAACAATGATTTTTTTTTCTGAAATTTAGACTTTTCACAAGAGTTTTGTGTGGTTTTAAAAGCTGGATCTCCTGCAATATTGCATTTTCTGCAAATTGTGTTTGCAAAGATTTGGTATGAAATGTTACGACACAAAGAGATAACCCAACCTGACTGTTTCTAAGAAGACTAGTTTGAAATTAAATGTAAGATTCACAAATAAATTTGGACGAGACACGACGGCTCTTTTTTTTCCTTTCAATGGCCTCATCGGAAATGGCTGTATTCATTTGAACGTACATTCTCGAGTGTCATTTTATCAACAAAATTATAAAGATTCACAGTTACCTTGTCAAGGCTGATTGTTGCTTCCTAAGCAATCCAGCCCATCAAATATTAAATTATTTCTGATGTACAATCAAACCGCATCACACACAAATCTCTATGGGAAGCTTTCCAGACAGCGTCGACGGTAACCAAACACTTAATTACAACCGGTCAGCGAGAGCATAGGAACAGGAGTCGGCCATTCAGCCCCTCAAGCCTGTTTTCCCATTCTATTAGATCATGGCTGATCCACACCGGAACTCCATTCACCCGTCTTTGCTCCATATCACTTGATACCCTTACCTAAGCAAAATCTATTGACCTCAGTCTTGAAAATTTGTACAAAACGAAACGGGAAAGGGGTCAAATAAGAATCAAGGTACAAAGTCAATCATCGGGTACAGTTTTGGTCTCAAGGGATTTCTGCCCAAGACTATTGAGGGGTCTATCATTCACAGCAATGAATCGTTAAAGTCCCCAATACATTCACATTTCATTCCAAACCAGATAAATGGTCTATCACCCCAAGCATTGTGTTTTCATGGGACCCGCCCCAAACCAAAATGGCCATTACCACAGGATTTCCCGTACGTTGCGCAGATGCAAAGTGCAAGGATGCAGCTAATGCCATTTCCTGAAAGATGGCCCCAGCTGAGTCACCTCTTGCACCTACCTCAGTGTGCATGAAGGGCCGTAAAGTGATCGCAGGGCACACCCAACCCAACAATTGGTCATGTTTAGCATGTGGCCCCATGTGCTAAATCAGCTGCAAGTCCACGGGACAGGCACTTGCTCTATAAGGAAAGGAAACCAGAGGAACACGTCCCTTTGGTGCTACATGAAACAAAATAATTTATTGTACTTTATTTCGGGACTGACACTTACATCACTCTGATTTTCATTAGAGGCAAAGGCCTGCAGTTGTCAGTAATTTAGCTGATGTTAATTCAACGTTATTAGACTCGACGTTCTTGACTCTAAGTTTGTGCTGCCTTTGTATTTGTATGGTCTTACTTTAATCTCAAATTCGTTGTTGACATTTCCTTGAGCTCCCTCTATGGTTTCTGGTTCACACCCTTTTTCATCATCCAGCCTATCTGCACATTTGCCTTGAACTCTTTAACTTCCCCAGCAATAATGCCAGCATTACAATGCTGCTGTAACTAATGTAATAAGAGTTATAATAATAATAAAAATAATAATCCTTACATTTGTTACAGCACTTTCCCAAAGTACTTTGTAGGATACCTTGTAAAGGGTAGTGGCTGTATGTTTTGTGAGCGACCTCGCAAAATTTGTGCACAGCAATATCCTACAGCCATGAAGTGTAGGACTAATTATTCTTTTTTTGGAGAGGTTGGGGAGAGTTTGACCAGGATACCCGGTGAAACTCCCTTCTCTTTTTGAATAGTACCGTGAGATCTTTAATGCCCGCCTGAACGGGCAGACAAAGCCTCAGTTTAACAGCTCCTCCGAAAGACGACACCGCCAGCAACGCGGCATTGGAGTTTCATCTGAAGATTGCATCGGTTTCAAATCCTGACGTGAGCGGCAAACACAAATCGGCGATGTGCCTCACGTTTCCCCACCCACCCACCCACCCACCTCCGCTCTCAGAAATATTAACAATCCACCACGAGAATCTCACGCCACAGTCCGCATCACCAAACCGCTCTTTTCAAGTCAGTATCAACCGTAAAACTTGAGATTTCTAAAACCGTACTTTTTATTTAAAAATAATCATTTCAACGAAAAGGTCAGCATGTCTCATGGCAGTGCGGGGGTAGTATATCCCTTGCGCATCGTTGAGTAAATTTGCTATTCACGTGTTATGCCAGCAATTGCACTCACTCCTTACGTAAACACAGTCTCATGTTTTTAATCGCAGGGTGTTCCTTTATTGTTTTCTACCTCTCTTTCTCTGGCCCTTGGCTTTCCTTCGTCTTTATTCTTCTCTTTACCTGGTTCGTTCTTTCACAAGTCTCTTTCTTTGTTTTGGACAGTTGGATGTCGGACACATTGTGGAAATCACATTCTTCGGAGAATCCAAACCGGACTGAGAGTGTTGCGTACACAATGGATGGAAATTACCCTCAGAGTAATGTCTCTCCCCCCAGAGCAGTCTATGTGCTCAGGAATGAGATATAAGTAGAAAGCACATGTTGCCTAATCCTAAGGTTCCCCTGATAGTCATCTTCTGCAGTATCTTGGCAGATAACGCAGACCATCTTATGTCAGTGACGCTTTGCTCATCACTGAGTGTCCCACCAGCACTTAATGTAAGTACACACACACATCCACACACCCACACACACACATACACACACAACGTGCAACCTACTGTAAGGAGAAATGGGTAATGAAAATAATAGGAAAAAGCACCAAAGAAGTTGAAAACTCGTTAACAACCATAATCCGAGAAAGGGGAGGAAACAAAAAATGCCAACGCATACTTTTCTTTAAGAAACAAAACGAGTTTGAGAAAAAAAAGATAAAAAGGCATAAAACTAACTGAACGTGCAAGTTACATTCCAATATATTCTCATACGCAGGGTTTGCAAAGTCTATTACTTCAATGACACAAAAACAATGAACCCCATGTTTAGATATGTGTAAGATGGGGAAGCGAGGAAATAAATTGTGGCGTCCTGTAGCTCAGTGGTTAGAGCACTCGCCTCGCAAGCGAGGGACCTGGGTTCGATTCCCAGGCAGGGGGCGAAACCTTGGGCAAGTTTCCTCACTCCACACGCCTGATAATAATCCCTCAAGAAAAAAGAACAATAATAAATCGGTCACTTCAATCCACGGCTGTTTGTGGGGACGCACAATCGGCTGCCGCGTTTCACTACAAAGGTACAGTCAATTTTCTTTTTGCGCAGTTTGCGCATTCAATTAATTTTTTAACTCAATACATATACATATAAATAAAAGATATAAATGTAAATAAAGCTGGAGGGTAATCCTGAATATAAAAAACGTATCCAGTACACAACAGAACCAGCTTTTGAAGGGAAGTTTTCAAGTCGACTTTCCACTTGGGGGTCCTACTGTGAATTAACTGCTGTGATGTTTTTCACAGTCTGGTTAGGGTGGGGGGGGCTGGATGATAGATGGGTGGGTGGGGGGGTCCGGATGGCGGTGCTGAGAAATGAATTTGCAAAAGGAAGGTCAGGGTCTTTTTTAGGGGGGTGGGGGTGGGGGTTAGTGGTTTGGCATCAGTTTCTCGAGTGTGGTGCATGTGTGTGTTTCCTTGTCCTACTATTTTTGCTGCCAGTTTCAGTTCCCTCTGGGTCAGTTTCCACAGTCAACAACAACCACCACAACAAGGCAAGAGCACAGCGAGAGCAGAGCAGAGCAGTTTGTTTACTCACAGCCTGTTGCAGCCTCCCGGAAGGTCCTTTGGCACATGGTCCACTTGCCTCTCTTGGCAGATGACATGATCGTCCAAGGTGCAGCGACAGATCGAGGGGCAGGAGCTGGATCTGGGTCTGGAGCTGAGGCAGGACATTGGGTCTGTCACCCAAAGAGCCAGCAGTAAAAAACAACCCAGGTGTTGCCTGATCCACATAGTTCTCCGGCGATCAGACCAGGAAAAAAAAAGCGGTTGTTCTCTCTTTGGCAAGTCAACAAAAAAGTAAAACAAACCCCCACCAAAAAAATCTGTTGCGTGAGTGCCACAACCTTTCCCCCCCCCCACCCCCAAACTGATTCCTCCCTTCTACAAGGGATGATGGATAACAAGTCACTCACTGGATAGAGCTCATTGCATCTGGGTTCCTGGAGGTGGAGCCTTGGGGAGGAGGGAGGGAGAGAGGGGGAACCAACAACACTTAAAAGACTCAAGTCTTAAGACTAGAGCATCGGTCAGCAGGCAGATCTGGCAACTTCCCCTCCTTTAACCAATTCCTGGATCGCTTGCAATCCCTTTGGCCAGCGTGTGAGCTTGTTGTAACAAATGTAAAGTCTGCTGGACTGGCTGTGGGAATGGTTAGCCCCCACTCTTATCGCGAGACGTTCAACAGACTCCACCGCATTCATGCTCTTGCCACAAGAGACCTTGTTACTCAGAACATGATGATAAGAGGGAGGTAACAGGGCAGTCAGTACACAAAAACAGGTTAAAACGAAAGCCTTCCAAATGACTGATCAAAACACCGACCCAAGATTTGTTTTTCCCCCCTCCCCCCTTTTAAAAGAAAATGAGACTTGGTTCGACAATTTGGCCAAGTGCAAACGTGTCACGAGATTTTTTTTAAGAAGAACTGCAGTGGATATTGATATCATATCAGCAATCTGCACGGTGAGACGATGCGATAGAAATTCACTAACTCTGAATCAAAATACGCCCTCCAGAGCTGCTAAAAAGTGGAAAAAAAACAATTGTTTTTTTTTTAACCAATGATACTTCAGAGTTAAAGTTAATCTTGATCAGAATCTTTTCTTATTACAAATGTGTGTCTAACTATAGCTTTGGAAGCAACACAGATCTTGATAAATACTGCATTGCTGCACTGTATATCAGGTTATGGTGACCTGAAAAGCTACTACACACACATTAATTGGCAAAAACAAGTTTTTTTTTACAATTACAATAAAAGGAAAACAGTTTGTAATTTGAAGGAAAGTGTACCGTAGACATGGAAAATGCAAAAAAATAAAAGGCTGCAACAAAATGCAAAGCACTCGCCACGAAGAAAGAAACAATTTCAACAGCTATAGAAATTTTCGATTTGGCGACAGACTCACTGTCAGTGCACAATGCTGTTCCTAACAGTTTATATCAAATGAATTCTATAATTAATATTAAATAATACCTGCATATGATTTCGCGCCTTATCACGTTGTCAAAACATCTCAAAGCGCTTCACAGGGTTTACTGTAATATGTCATGACTGTAATTGCAAACGAACATATGGGCATAGCAACGTCCCACAAACAATCCTGAATGACTAATTTTATCCGAGAAATGCAGATAATTATAAAGTAACTAAAAAAATCAGCTTGAGTCATAATATATAATATAAAATGCAGGACACATGCTTGGCATTGATGCACTTCTAAGTTCAGAGCAATTAATCACGGAAAATGCTGCAATTTAACTCCATGTAAGGATAAAGAAAAATACTTCTGAGGGGAAAAAATCAGGAGGGGAAAAAATTAGATGCGTGCGTTGAATACTTCTGAAAAAAATGTCATTGATATCGTACTTAGGTGATCGTCTAAAGTTTATATTTTCATTTTACATTTCCAGATCATTGTATCCGCTAGTGAATGCCTGGCTCAATTGGAAGCACTCTTGCCTTTGAGTCCTAATCCAGACTGGGAACCCATGTAATCTTACCGGACATCAGATGTAGTTTGGCATTGTCCAAGATGCAAAAAGAGAAGGGAATTCTCCCAAATAGAATTGGTCACTCCGTGGCTGTTTCTGGGTCATTACTGTGTGCACGTTGGCTGCCATGTTTCAGCCACAAAACACACCCGGCCACACCACTTTGTGGTATATCCAATGACGCACGTGGAGAGTTCTGGAGGAATAATAGACTGTAAGGCACGATATCAAATGAAGGCATTCTGATTATTTGCAGTGGAGTTCCTGCAGCTCAGTGGTTAGAGCACTCGCTTTGCAAGCGAGAGACCTGGGTTCAATTCCAGGCAGAGGGCGAAACCTTGGGCAAGTTTCCTTACTCCACACAGAGCCTAATAATAATCCCTCCAAAACAAAAACAATAATAAATTGGTCATTTTCAATCCACGACGGTTTGTGGGGGAACGCCGCTGTGCGCAATTGGCTGCCGCGTTTCGCCCACAAACATACAGTCAATTCGCTTTACAGCGTATTCTGTGAAGCGCTTTGAGACGTCGAGAAGACACGAAAAGGGCTATATCAAATGCGAGGATTATTATTGTTATTATTTACCAAAAATAATGTTTTTAGCTGAATTGTTCATTGCGGTGCAGCACACAGAATATGTTTCAATCTGGGGCAGAGCAGTGGTGGTGGTGGTGGTGGGGGTGGTGGGGGTGGGGGGCGTGGGGGGAAACTTGCTTCAAGGTTACGTACTTGGCAATGGAATCTTGGAAATGAGTCAACCCTCAGAGAAGCAGGTGGGACCTCAGTTCAACATCTCACGTGAAGAACAGCAATCTCCAAATATCCAGCACACCCACTGCTCTGGAGTGTCAGCCAAAGCTATGAGTTCAAAGTCCTGATGCGGGGCTTGAACCCACAATCCTCCGATTCTGAGGCGGGAGTGCTAAATACCAGCTGATATTTTAGTCCTCAAGGTCTCTCCTAAAACGTTGGCTAAAAAAAAAAAATCCAGAATACATAGTCTAACGAATCTCAATGACGACCCCTTTGGGAATAGGTTTGTTTTGACAAAGCTTATCATTCTGAGTTTTGGCAGGGGATGACGTGGAGGAGTTTTAATGGAAATAACACGGCTTAAAGTTTGGACCCGGTGCGCCAAAGTGGATGGGGAAACCATTATCAGTGGATGATTTAATAATCGGATCGTTTAAAATGTCGCGCTGCGTAAAACTGAGAATTATTTTAATTCTCATTTTTTTCTCTGTTTTATTTAATGCTTAAAACAACCGACATGTAAAGTCACTGAAAATAGTCACCGCACTTGACAGCGAATCCTCTGGAGAGCTTTGCGGTCATCCACCCACCCAAGGCCAAACATGCATTACCGGATGCAAAGGTTATTGTTGTGATTATTATTGTGCCTTAGCTTTTTTTTTGGAACTTTAAACATCTTTCTTTCAAACGCAGCTTTCATTGCTCACTTTGCTTCAGTTCCGGACGTGAGCTGCACCAAACAGGGTGCCAGTTGTTTGTACCTCCCTGGAAGACCGGAATGGGAAGGGAGTAAGGGAAGGGGGCAAATCGCGGAGTCGTTGGTGAATGTCTCTTCGTGGCCAGCAAAAGAGGGAACGTCTGAAGCATGGTTCTTTCGGCCTGTTCCGCCTTCAAGGCACGTCTCGAACCGCACTCCTTTCACAGCGCTTTTGGTCATCTTTCCCCTTAAAACCCAGCCACCCTCCCTTGGTTCCGAGCCCCCCCCCCCCCACCGCCACCGGCTCGGTGCCCACCCAGCACTGTGACGTGTTTTGAGGGCATCCTCCCGACGTGAAATCTGCCGTATAGATTAAATTGTGTTGTTAGTGGCAAGTCACACGTGGTTAGAAGTGTAGTAGGAGAGTCTGAGCACACAGATGTGAGCTCTCAAACTTAGGTCCAAAGGGCTGCGTATAATATTAATAATAATAGTAACAATCCTTGCATTTGATACAGCGCCTTATTACATCTTCGAGACTTCTCCGTGCGCTTCACAGAATATACTGTAAAGCGAATTGATTGTATGTTTTTGTGGGCGAAACCCGGCAGCCAATCGCACACAGCAGCGTCCCAAAAATAGTTGTGGGTTGAGTGACCTATTTCTTATTACTACTAGGATTTTTTTTTGAAGGAATCATTACCCCCCAGAAAAGCGATCTGCCAATCGACTAACAACCGGGTTCCTACTTCCTGCTGGGTAAACAGAGGCGCGTGTGTGGAGTAAGGAAACTTCCCAACGTTTCGCCCCCTGCCCGGGAATCAAACTCATGTCTCTCGCTTGTGAGGCGAGTGCTCTAACCACTGAGCTCTAAGAGTCCCACAATGAATAGATATTAATATGAATAGAGTGCGTATTCTTAGTAAAGTACAAGTGAACTGGGAGCAGAAGCTAACTATGAAACAATTATCTACCATTTAGCACCTCAGCAAATTAGCAAATTGGAGTTATTATAATCATTTTAGTTGCACTGTTTCCATGCTTTGTCAGATTGTGATTACATTTTCTTGGCAGCGTGTCTTAAGAGCTAAACAGGGACACTTGAGAATATTTCAGCAAAAGAGGGATCAGGTGTTGGGAGAGACTTACATTAACTTTGATCTCGTATCTCAAAGACTATGAATAGCGAAAACATTTACATTCCCGAGCCAGTTAAAGGAAAATAACATTGAAGGAGGTGATCTTGAGCTCTCAAGATGTCACATAAATCAGTCAGAAAATATTTTCTTGCAAGAATCCTTTTCACACTTTAATGCGAAAGGCTTTGTCTTTATCGTCAGTTCCTTTTCCCTTCAAGCTATCAAAAACATTTACCAATCTACCCAAAACTTTAGCTTCCAGTTTGTTTTAGTTTTTAAACAACCCACTTATGTCAAAACTATTCTTGCTGTTGCTGCAAACGTTACTGTAATAATAATAATTACCCTTGCATGTGATCCAGCACCTTGTCACGTCTGTGAGACATCTGAAAGCACTTCACTGTTTTACTCTGTGTGAGTGCATCTGCATGCCTATTCACACCCCGAAAAATAATTTAGATAAAAGGTTTAGGTTGGCCTTTAAATTTCCTGCTTGATCTGGGGTGAAAAAAGATCAGCCCAGGGGCAGAATCACACCTCCGGTTGACAAATAGTCGTATGTGCAAAGGCTTTCCAAAATATGACTTGCCTCCTCGGTCACACTTCCCGATCCAGCTGAACCGTTATTCACGCCTTCGCTATGCCCAGACTTTGTTTCTCTAATGCTCTCCTTGCTGTCCTTCCATAAGCTCCGCTACATCTAGAACTCTTGCTGCCCGTATCCTCTCCTTTGCGAGTCTATC